TTTGCATTTCAGTGAAAGGCTATTTACCCACACACGTCATTTCACATATTATAGCTATACATATATAATTTTGCCTGATAGAGAAGCAATCGGTGCACAAACTTAGTTATAGAGTTAAATAGCTTATTGAAATTCTTAAAGAAAAAATATTGAACATGCACTGGTTACAATTTTCTCGACTCCTGACCATTCTGACAATTATCTAGACGAGTGTTTAGGTAGCTGCGTTTTATTATGAACGTTGATTAAATTTAGGTTTTGATGACGGCGCTCCTTTCCTCCGAAAGCAAATGCTACTTTGAAGGCTTCTAATAATTCTCCATAACAAGAGATGTCCATATTTGTTAAAAGTACGAAATGTGTCATCCCTGAGTGAAATGAATACCAAAAGATACTTCCTAATCATGAGCTTTTGTTCCAACTTTCAGCGCAATGTAAAGTCCTAAACTATATGGAAACATCGTTCCAAGAATGTTTCAAAGGATACTCGACAAAGAACGAAGACAAGACGGCCTACAACAAACCAGGCTGGAGGCCTGTCGACAATGCTGCGAGGAATGACGAGTCATTACAACTTTACCCGAAGCCATGGCGATATCAACATGCCGAGGAAACCGACACTACACCCAGGTGGGGACATTTCTCCTTTTATGATGGAGGAGGATTTGTAGCAGACCTCGGTTATGATAACCATACGGGGTTCAGCATAGTAACAAATTTACAAAACAACGGTTGGCTTGACAGGCAAACCAGAGTTGTCCTTGCAGAGTTTTCCACATTCAATCCGTCGGTGAATATTTTAAGTGTTGCCACATACTTCTATGAAGTTGATGCATCTGGACTGAGAGCAGCCTCCATGCAAATTCGTGTTCTTTCACTGGATTCTACGGGCACACCCTCGCATCAGTTTTATTTGATTTGCTTGTTCCTGTACATTGTATTCGTTTTTCTGTATTTTGGAAGGGAAATTTTCAGACTTTACAGTCATCGTTCTCGATATTTCAAGTCTATCTGGAATTGGGTCGAGATATTCCAAATTGTTTTTTCTCTGATTTCTGTGGTGATTTACATAATACGACAAAGTAAAACCATTTCAACCATGGGAAAACTGCATAAAAACATTTACGCAAATCTAAGTTTCCAAGAGGCTATCACTTGCCAAGAAGTGGAAAATGTGGTACTCGGAATTCTTACTTTCATCGTCACCACCAAGCTATTGCGAATCATTCGCTTCAACAACTATGTT